ATATGTACTGGAGCTTACTTGAATTATGTAAGACTCATTATGTGATGACATCAGTAGTACCTTGGTCCATTGCAAGATAGAGGTACATTGCAAGATTGAGGCACTAAAGAAAGAAAAAGGGTAGAAAGAAAGAGAGGTGCATAGCAATGAATTGTAATGGTAATTCAAATTTATTAGATAAGTAATGATTTTCAGTAATGGTAATGGCTGTGATAATTTGTTTATTTGAGACATAGTGGCAATGGCATTCATGCACATGTATATGTACCTGTGCTTTACTCAATTAATTGAATCAGTGTCATACATGTAGGTCTGTGACAATTATCATTACAATTACCCAGGAATCCATTGACTTAAATACATGTACATTACATATCACTTACCATCATTATGCTTCAGCCAATGCAACACAGCATTAATGTTACTTTGTTAGACATATCCTAAATAATCAAATGTACATAGATTCAATAAGACACTATACTCCCTCTCACTCTCAGTACATGTACTGTACACAAGAGCACTATAGTGTGCATTGTGTCTTACTGCTACAATTCTTTAGCATTTTATTTGCATTCCTGTTCCCACATTGCAGCAAGTGACAATGTCTGTAATATACCAATGTACTATAAAATAATAATAATAATAATAATAACAACAATGTTTGTATACATTAATGTATGTGTATGGTATTTTACAGTTGCTTACTGATACTAAAACTGTGTTAACACAAGAAAGAGAGAGGACATGTGAGAGACCTAGCAAAGGAACGAGAAACAGCAAAAGTTAGACATATGCGTACGTGTGTATGAGGAGGAGAGAAAGGCTTTGGAGAGAAAAGAGACAAAGATGCACAAGGACAGGAGTCAAGGAACACAAACATGAGAAGACAGAAATATGCAATACCTATTAACAATACATACATGCATTGGGAAAGAGAAGAATTGTTTATTATAAACTAATATAACATTGCCAATAATGCTTAGAGTCAGGGTTCCTCAACAGATTTGGTATAGTGCTGATACAGGTTCTTGTCAATGGATTGTCAAATTGCTCAAAAATTGAGCCAAACACCCCCGTACTATATACAGGGACACTGATCAAATTTAATCAAAAATGACAAGGAGAGAATTCTTCAATTTTTATTATGTTTTCTGATGCATATACATGTACTTATGTTACATAGAAAATTTGAGCCAATTGAGATAAAATTTAGATTTTATCAATTTTTAAATTTGCTCAAAAATTGAGCAAAACATTTTGTAGTATTATAGTACAAAGGGAAATTTGAGTCCAGTACTTCCAAATTTCTCTATTACATGCATACATGTACAGCAACATTCACCAAATTTCATCAAAAGTACAAAGAGGGAATTTTATCAATTTTACAATGTTTTCTGATACACATACATGTACTTATGTTGCGTAGAAACTTTGAGCTGATTCCATTCAAAATTAAATTTTTTAATAAATTTTTAAAGTTATTGCAAATGTCATGTACTGCGCTGTGGTGCTAGTTGGCTCACAAAGCTCATGCTGTTTAGCCTACTTAGCATACTTTGTGGGAAACCCTGTTTAGACTACATGATTGATAATTGTGGAACCTCAAGGACATACGTGTATTGTATATCAAGCCTGAGATAATTCATGTACACGCAAAAAACTTCATCTTGTTTACAATTATAATTACTACCATAGACAAGGTACTATGGGAATACAATTCTAATAACATTCCTATGCACTGCTGATAGACATGCAATACAAAAACTCAAACTACATGTGTGTATCACAACATTGTAAAAACAAACTTACATTTTTCAATTTTTGCTACTCAATGAACATTAATTGGCAAGGCCTAGATATTTTTCCCTGCTAAAAATTCCCTTCATACAGGCACAAGATTATAGGCAAAGCTATACTGATACAGGTACAGTTACACTGTATGAGACCCAAGCAATATCACAATTACTGTACTGGGATCAAAACAATGAGATGTTTGCCAGGGATCTCATAAAAAGTCATTAGGATTTCTGCATGTAGATAGACCCCACTCTGTATTAAGCATGGCAATTTCATGCCGCAATGGGTTTGAAGATTCA